TTGTATGTGATACTAAGATTTGACTTTTATTCTGAAGACAATGGAAAGTCATGTAACGACTGAAAAATCTGGCAATGATAATATGGGACTTATGTTGATGTTAATGCTGACTTGGACAGTGCTCAATTGGATTCAGAGAAATTACTTGTGAGATTATTGTAGCCTATTTGTTGGCTACCTGTAGTGATTAAAAGAATGAATGATTGACGAGATACCAAAAAGGCCTAACAGCAAGACTTAGTGATCAATTCGGAGCAGGTGACAGAGGCCAATGGAGGGAGTCTGATTTCCAATTACTGTGTTTGGCAGATGTACATACATGCGGATGATGTTGGGTTATGACCAGGAAAAGCATGCTGGGCGATAATGAGTTGAATTGTAATTATATTGGTTCAAGACATGTAAGGAGAGGAATTTAAGAAATTAGTATGACTATTATTATTATTATCTATTAATTTTGAGTCAAGATCTCACTGCACACTACATACCCAAGCTGACCTTGAACCCATGATTCTCCGTCCTTGGCCTTCCAAGTGCTAGAGCTATAGATGTCTGCATTGTGTCTCATGTGGTGTGATTTTTAAAAATATAGTTTAATATAGTAATAATATAATATATGATATTGAGCAAGAGCCTGATAGACAGAGAGAGAAAGAGGGGCTGGTAGTAGTACATGGTAATGTTAACTATAACCAAACCTTTCTCTTCCTGAATATAGCATCTTAATTGGTAGACCACTATGAGATTTATCATAACTTTTCCACAATCCTATATTCCACATTAAAGCAGCCATTAAATCCTGCTGTTTAGTTTTTCTTCCTTTCTATCATTACTGTCTTGGACCTAACCCTCAATATCATCTTGAATTACTAAGACTGACCAGTGTTAGTTTTCCTAATATTACATCTTTATTTTTTTCTGTAATGCATATCTGATAACTTAAAAGCTCCTTCACCAGTCTGTTACAATGAAACAAGCACACACAGCCATGAAGAACACTTCTGAGGTCCACTTACTTTTCTGTCTCCTTCCAACCTTTAGTTACTTAATGTTCTATTCTATATACTGGTTTCCCAGGCCTTTGAATTAAACTGTAGAATGCCTCCTATTTCATGTTTCCTCTCTTAAATTGTGTCATGCAAACAGAATAGATAATCCTTGTTCTGTGTTAATCCTACACTCCTTGCAGAGTATATATATAGCATTTGTCATATTTAGTCTAGTCATTTATACGTAGTTCTCCTTCAAGATCAAGATTACATATTATGAAACCAGCTACAGGAATTAGCTTTTAGGAGACTATGCATTATATACCTCCCTGTTCAGTTGTAAAAAGTTGCTAGACATTTATTTATTGAACAGACCATCTGGTTAATGGTCACTTACTTATCTGTTGAAGGTAGTTATCTCTATAATTATTTGATGCCAAGAAGGAAAAGTTGTGTAAATTTCCTGGAGACAACAGCTGCACTCTCCTGTTGGGGCTTCCAAATTCCAACCATTTCTTATTGGAGAAAAAATTATATATCTTCACAACTAAATTTCTGAGAATGCTGTTAAGAAATACTACAGTTCTGTTCGTTATAGAGGATGATGGAAATTGTTTTCTAATACTTTTTCTTAGGAATCATAAAAATAAAAAATCATGGACTTACTGTATGAAAAGTATATGCAAAGACTGGATAGACTGGTGCGTGTGTGTGTGTGTGTGTGTGTGTGTGTGTGTGTGGTTTAAATGGGGTCTTGGCTCCTCTTATCTCTCCATATGTGTATATCACATTATAATAAAGAAAATACATGCATTAAATTAAAAATACTTCTAAGAGTACAGCCATTAGCTCCCCTACTTTATGTAGTAAACTTATTTCTCTGTAAGACATGCTTATGAGATACAAAAAGTCAATTGTCTCTATTACATAGAAGAAACAAAAACCAAGTGGATGATTGCACTCAATGGCTAATGAATTATTCAAGATTGTTTGTGCCATTGCCTGGCTTGGTGTGGATGGAGGCAGGGATAACAAACCAAGTGTTCCAAAGCACTGCAGCTGGTCTGCACCAAGAGGGTAGTTCAAATGGGGTCTGTGGCCCTTTATCTCATATTCAACATAAGTGCTAATATCTTATAAATAGTGATTTAGGATATTTTTTCAAGAGAATACTACAATATTAAGGGAGCACATTTTGACTATAATATAGCAATAATTATGGCAATAGGGATGGGCATTTTTATGGTACTTGGGTTTTTAATAGGTTGTCGTATACTGACTTTCATTTAAGCCATGTGATCTGGTTTGTAGTTAGAATTACTGAAACAGGTGTAGTGGTGGAGCTGATAATGAAATCAGTGTTCTCTGTCTCTCCTTTGAGGTCCTATGACCTCAGCTCACACAACTGGAAGATTCCAGGCATATGGTTCTAATTTTGCTGGGTTATAAAATGAGATGCATTTCATGGTACCAGATTGACCACCCACTTCTTTATTAGAGAGAGATTTCCTTCTAATTGTTTATTATATATCAGAGGGTCCTGTGAAACAGGAGAGAATTTCAGATAGCCCGATTTGGTTACCCAAGGTCTTCATGGTTGGTGAGAGTATATATTAAAGGTAGGGCTGTGAGTAAAGCAGGCTGGATGTCTGAATCTGCTTATTCCTCACAATGAGACATCAGTCTTGCTTGATTTAAAAGGAAAGAGAGAAAAGCATTAGTGTATCAGTGAGTTTGCTTTTAGCCAGATGCCCGAAACTGTTAGCTGTTGAAAGTGTTGTATATTTTGTGTTAATTATTCCCAGTGGAGTTGCTGCTAAGTTTGTGTCCTGTGAATGTCCAGCCATAAACAAGGGCAGAAACAGGCTCCTGTGTGAGGGTATACAGTCAGCACATCTCACTTCATCCTCCTTCCCTCTCTCCTTCATTCCCTCTATCCCTTTTTTATTAAAGAAAGTTTCAGTTTTTAAATGGCAGGATTCTGGCATTTATGACCCTATGTTTCTCTTTGGCGTCTATCATGCTTCAAACTTCATTCATGAAAACACAGATTTTTTTTCAGCTTTCTATTCTGGTGTTTTGTTTTCCCTTCATTCATTTTGACTTTCAAATGAATTTCTTCCATTTTGGTTGTAGGCACAGAACATAGATGCTCTGTTCTGTGTTTTTGTTTCTTTGTTTGAGGCAGATACTTACTGTGCAGCTTAACTGGCCTTGAATGCAGGATTCTCCTGCCTTGCCTTTCTTGGATATAGATGTGTGCCACTATGCTTAATCATATGTATTTTTTGATGAATAAAAATATTATCTATGTAAGTGGATTTTTTGTTTAGTTCAAACATAAACATCTTTCTCATTCTCCTCTATTTCAACAGCACATAGTAACTTCTACACGGTTCGCAGCCCTTGGGGAATATGCCATAGCTTAGTTTAGGCACTGTTGATTATGATGAACTCTTTCAGAATGTATTTTAGTACTTGCATAACAGTTATAAAGGAAAATTTGCTTCATGACTCTCCACTGAAGGCTTGTGCTTTGAAATACCTCTTCTGACCTTTGTTTCATAAGTCATTGTGCATTGAAATTTGTTGTGTTGAAGCCCTTTCTGAAGCCTCCATATCTACCACATACCAGTTTGACCATGGAGTTGTTGAGCAAATCCTGGCAAATGTGAGGATCTCCTGGGAGTTACACCCCGACCCCCGTGAGTACTAGGAGTATGTGCCATTGAGGCTGGGTCCTAGGTATCTGAAGTTCTAACTTTTAGATGGTCCTAAAACTTCACTTTTTAGAAAGACTGAGTCATTGAGTCAGTTTATTTTGAATGAAATTCCTACAGGTATGAGGCATTCTAAATGTGCTTAAAAACTATGATGTGGGCAGGGCCTAAGGCCAGAGGATGGCAACTTTAAGGACTGTCTAGGCTACAGAGTGAGTTCAAGCTCAGTTTGAGCAACTCAGTAAGACACTGACTCAAAATAAAAAGTGAAAAGAAGGATGCAGACATATACCGCCCAGTGGGAGAGTGCTTACACAATACATCTGAAGCTCTCAGTTCAGTCCCCAGCACATAACAATCCAACAACGGACAAAAAGCTGGGATGCAGGTGTTTATGCGTTCTTTGACAATATAGAATCAATAATGATACACGCGATGTTGCCCATGTAATTTAATGCAGTGTTTTCTTTACTACAGGTCTGTTGGTGTAGTGTATTCTATGTTAACATGTCATTTTCAGCATGCTCTTTCTCAAGAATCTCCCACTTAATAGAAACAATAAGAAACACTCAAGTTACAATATTTTTTTCTAGTGTTAATTTCTAACTTATTTTTATATTATGTGTGTTGGTGTTTTGCCATGAGTGTCAGATCCCCTGGAACTGGAATGACAGACGTTGTGAGCAATCATGTGGGTGCTTGGAATTGAACTCTGGTCCTCTGGAAGAGTGGTCAGTACTCTTAATCACCGAACTATCTTTCCAGCCCCCACTAGTGTTAATTTCTATGATATAATAGTTGTTTCCATTTGAGACCACATTTTGTGGGACATTTTATTGGAGAAAAATTTCAGGATATTTAGAAAATATAGTTTAATTCACCCTATTCATAATGACCAGCATTTGATGCTTGTAATATTGATGTTGAAGCCAAAGCCAATAGTAGTTTTGAAGTTATCAGAAGTTTGGGGATTAATTTCAGCATCAGACCACTTTTAAATTAATGCAGTTTTTCTGAAATGGAAAATGATGGGTAACCCACAGAAATTTAAGCAAGCCTTTATTAATCCTACCTAGGTAAAAGAGTGATATACTTTAGGGAGGAAATTAGCAGTAACAGATCAGTTGTTAACACAAGTTTTCTCTTTAAACTTATCAAATACCTCTTTCATAGATGGGTTTAGTTTTCTTGAGATGGGGAATACATTAAAGATTGGAGATTAAAGGAATTACCAACTAGCCCAATTTAAAAATTCCATAATGCCTTCATATTATTTCTTGTTTGTTTTCAGGGACTTTCTTCCTCGAGGCTCAGGCATTGTAACCAGACGACCCCTTGTACTCCAGCTTGTCACATCTAAAGCAGGTAATTAGTGAAGATGTTTACAGTGTGGTTGTGCATGCCCCATGGCAATTGTCATTTTCATTCTTGGGCACTAGATGAATCAACAAAACCACTTCTGAAAGCCACTCTGGTGTGAACAGCTGCCTGCAATTCTCTCTAGAATGGTCTCCTGTCCATTATTATTTTGATTCCTTTCATTACATTGAAGTGTCACATGCATATAGATTTTTAACACTCTTTTTGTAGGCCAAGAAATTATTTGCTTTTGTAATCTATCTGTATAAGTTCATAGTATCATATTATCATGACTGCTCCTTTTGTGTGTACCTTTTATGCTTGTATGTATGTCATATGTGTGACTATTTTGTTATAAAAATTAACTATTTAGGGAGCTAGAGAGATAGCTCAGTGGTTAAGAGCACTTCCTCCTCTTTAGAAGGACCTGAGGAGGTGGCTCCAACCACCTGTACCTTCAAGTCCAGGGGATCCAAGACGCTCTTCTGGCCTTTATGGACACTGTACTCAAATGCATATACTCAGAAACACTTTCATATAATTACAATTAAAATATATGTAAGGGTCCAATTGTAGTTTCTACTCGTAGACAACCAATTGCTGGACATCATTTGTCTAACAGACTATTCCTTTTGCCTCATGTGTTCTTAAAATCCTTGCCAAAATTTTATTGACTGTAGCTATGTGGAATTATGTGGGTTTATATTTGGATTCTCAGTTCTAATCAATTTATCTCTATTTCTACTCTCGAATTGATACCATGTCATCTTAAATATCTTTGCTCAATGGTATTGTTTTTTGTTTTTTAAATCTAGAAAGTGGCATTTCTAGTTTGTCTTTTGTTTCAACAACATTTTAGCTACCCTGAGCTCTAAATTCTACATGAATCTAGAATCTTGTTTTATCCAAGAATTGTGAAACAATTTTTTTAACTTCTGAAAAACCAATTAACGTAATGCACTGTGTCCATGGACTTAAAACAAAAACAACAAAACCCACAAGATCACCTCAGTAAGGTCAGCCAAAGCATTACACATTCATGCAGAAAATGTGTAGTAGACTAGGAATTGAAGATTGCTTCTCTCAGGCTAACAGAAAATGAAAACCCCTCTGCTAACACACCTATAAGAAAGGAATGCTTTTTCTCTCAGGCAGTGGTTCTCAAACCTTCCTCATGATACGACCCTTTAATACAGTTCTAATGCTGCGGTAACACCCAACCATGAAATTATTTTCATTGCTACTTCACAACTGTAATTTTGCTACTGTTATGAACTGTAGTTTAGATATTTTTTTGAGTTAGAAGTTTGCCCAAGGGGTCGCGACCCACTATTGCTCAAGATGACTAAAATAGGCGTGTTTGCCCTTATCAATTCTATTCGACATTGTCTTGGAAGTTTTAGCCAAAGAAATTTGCCAAGAGAAAGAAATAAAAGACTTCAAGATCGGACAAAAATGAGGTAAAATGTCTATTTACAGATGGTTGATGATGTATATGGAAAATATGAAGGCATTCATTAACATGCTATTAGAAGTAGTAAATGAGTTCCAGAGGTTTCAGGGTTCATGATCAATATGTCAAACTCAATTATAACTATTTCCACTCACAATGAACAATCTGAAAATGAAATTTAAAAACCATTTCCATTTCCATTAGCATCAAAAAGAGTACACCATTCAAAAATATATTTAACAAAAGAAATTTGAAACAGGGGTTGGGGAAATGGCTCAGTGAGTGGGAGTGTTTGGTCTTCAAGAAGTACCTGAGTTCAAATCCATAGCACCCATATAAACACTGGGCATGGCTGGATGTGATTGTATTCACAGACCTGGGGGATAGAAGCAGGCGAATCTCAAGAGATTGCTGAGCATCCAGCTTCTTCTATGAAAAATCTCCTCTCCCAAGCTACGATTCCATAGTGTATATGAAGCACATTTTCATCACCACTAATGGGTGTTTAGGTTGATTCCAACTCCTGTCTATCATCCCAGAATGGGGCAATAGTTGAATGACTGTTTCAGGGGAACCAGCTATCACGCTTTCTCTGGATGGGTTTGAGGGTAACTCAAAAGGAGGGAATTCATACTTGATACTGTAGACCCAGACTGAACCCATGACTGAGGAGGCCTTAGGCCTGAGAGGGGAGCGTAGTACTGCTTAGATTGATATGGTGCCAATCTGCTTTCTAAATATCTATATTCGTACCTATAGACAAATGCTACACTCAGCCTTAGTCAGAAAAGCTTCACTTTTCAATGAATGGTGGCAAATGCAGAGACTCCTGGATGCTCATGATGCTGAGAATTAGTGGAGTTTAACTGTTCAGCCCTAAACAGAGCATTTGCATCACCCTCTCTAAGGTTTAGAGAATGTCTCTATGAGGGAGCAGAAAGAATGTAGAAGCTAGAAGACAGGGTAGAGGGCTGGTGAATGGCTTCGTTTTGGGTATGACACAGCCATCGTAATCATGATATAACAGCAACTATGGCTGCCAGTACTGAGCTTGCACAAGGCTGAGGCTGTCAGTAGTCAACCATGGATTTGGGGGTGGTGATGCATGGGGTCCTACTGTTCACTACTAGATTATTGGTTACTGATGGATCGTGGGTGAGCACAGTGATTTTCTGAAATTGTACACACTGGTGAGCCCACCAGGCTCCAGTGGATAGCTCCCAACTCCCCATACAGATGGTCCTAGTTAAATTCGGTGGGAAAGAAAGCAACATGAATGTGGGAGAGGGACTCAGAGAAGTGGGGAGACTAAGAGGACGGGCAGGATGCACAGGGATCTGAAGGCAACAGTAATCAGCACATCATTATGTTTGAAATAATCAAAGAAGAACTTTAATAAAAATTAAAACAAAAAAGCTGGGCACAAGAAAGTTTGGGGGTCTGCTCACTGCTGATTTGATTGTGACTTCACGTTGTAACTGAGGCTAGTTATTTAAGTACAGACTCCTCTTGACTGGTTCATTCAATAAGTATTTTTTTAAGTGCACAACATAAAACAAGACTAGAAAATAGAAAATACACATCAATAATATCACAGAGATTTTATTATGCTTCTTATTTTAAAGATTTATTTTATTATACTTTAAATTTAATATTTTGATAGTTTCACATGAATACTATATTTAAATCATTTCCATCCCCTCCTCTCTCCCTTCCAAGTTCTCTGGAGTCCTTCCTGCGAGTCATGGCCTCTCTTCCTTAATTATTTCATTCTAACCAAAAGTTAAATCAAGAGGAGTCTCTAACAAATGAGGAGATTGGAAAGCCTTCCAACTAAAAACAACTTCTCATGTTCAGATGGCTTCACAACAGTTGTACCGCACTTCTTTCTTTTTCCTTTTCTCTCTTCTTCTCCTTCTTCCTCTTATTCCTCATCTTCTTTCTTCTACTTTCCACAAATACTTGTTAAAGAATTCTGCATGCCACCAGGCAAACTTCACTCTCATCGTGAAGCTTACCATCTAGTGGAAAGAAACAAGAATAAATCAAACTAAGTTCACAGAATGTTACATAACAAGAAAGGGGGGCCAACTAGCATTCAGGGGCCAGAGGCAGGAGGATGGCTACAAGTTTGAAGCCAGCTTAATGTACGTAGTGAACTCTAGTTTATTCATGGCTACATATTGAGCTCTTGGTTTAATAAACAGAAGAAACAAAACAATAAAGAAGTCAAAGAGGAGCAGGGGGAGGAGAACAGAAAACAAAGGAAAAGAGCGTGGGCATTCAAGTCATGTAGACTTGTGTGAGCAGTGGCAGCCAGGTGGCTGCCTATGTGCTTGAAGTTTAACACTGGAGCCAGTATGTGCGGGGTGCAGTGACTAAGAAGGGTAGCAGGAAATGGAGTGAAGACTCCAATGCTTCCGCAGTAGTTAAAAAGGAGAAAGCAGACAGGAGCCGCAACAGAGGCATTTAAGGAGAACACGACGGGAGGATTAGAACTGTAAGTGGAGGCCACTGATAGCATGGTTGAGGTTTAGAGAGTGAGTGTGCTAAGAGAAGGAAGGAAAAACTCCTTCTGCAGCACGGGGTGTTGGGGTGGGCAGAGGGGAGAGGGGCAGGCAAGTCTGTGCTTGGAATGAGTTCAGAGACTCCCGTGATCTTCTTTCTTTTCTTCAGGAAGAGGCTAGAATTTGTTGGTAATCAAAATCTTCTCTTCCCATTTCCCTTAGTTACGACTTAATGTTCTTCTCAACCATATATCACTCTTACTTGTGAGAAAACACCTCTGATGTCTAATTATGTGCATATTATTTATTATTTGTCCTGACAGGGAATATCTTATCCCCAATTTTAAAAGCAATTTAAAACACGATGAGCAGATATATGTTTTGTTGCATTCTATTTAATCATTCATTGAGACAAGCATTTAGCAACACATATGATCATCCTGTCATATTTCACCATCATTCCATTCCTACCTTACACTCTTTGCCTCATTGAATGGATTCCACAGATTTATTTATGCTTCCTTCCCTATTCATCTACTGCTGTCAAGTCACCAAATGGACAGTAGGCTGATGAGCACAAAATGAGTCCTTTGTCTCTTCTGACTTTCTTCTATTGGGCTTTGAAATTCTTAAAACTCTGATGATAGATTTTAGTGTTTCCAAGTAAAAAAAGGATGCTGACCTTGCTTTTCACAGCCTTCGCATCAGGTGACAAGACGGCAGGCACAGGTGGGGAAAGCCTGGCAAGGTTAGTGCTTAGATTTCCATGGCCCCTCCAGACAATGGCATGGGATGCCAGAGCATGTTGGGAATACCCTGAGTCCTCTGCGCTTATCCCAGTGCAGATAAATATCATCACTATGGAAACTCTTACAAAGAACTGACATACTGGCATTCTCAGGACACGCGTTATGCAGAAAATTGTACTTATAGCCAAACATTAGGTGGAGCTCAGGGAATCCTGCAGACTAGGGGGAGGAAGGACTTTAGGAGTCAGAAGGGTCAAGGGCACCACAAAAAACCCACAGAATCAACTAACCTGGGCTCCTAGTGGTTCTCAGAGACTGAAGCAACAACCAGGGAGCCTGCATGGGGCTGACCGAGGCACTCAGCATGTATGTTACAGCTGTGTAGCTTGGTCCTCTTGTGGGTCTCCTAATAGTGGGAGTGTAGGGACTGTCTGTGACTTCTTTCCTGGCTTTTGGGACCCTACACTTCATATTGTGTTGTCTTGTCCAGCCTTAATACATGGGAGGTGCTTAGTCAGTCTTACTGCAACTTGATATGCCATGTTTTGTTGATGATCACAGGAGACCTGCCCTTTCCTAAGTAGAAATAAATGGAGGAGGAATGGATTGGGGGTAGGAACAGAGCAGGTGGGAGTGAGTGAGTGAGAGGAGAGGAGGGAGGGGGAAACTGTGCTGGGATGTAAAAACAAACGAACAAACAAATAAATAAATAAATAAATAAATGAGCGAAAGGAAACTGTGTTAATGGCTAGTTCTTCTTTTCCAAGCTTTTTCAGTACTGAGCATTTTGCTATTTTTCACTTAATCTTCACGAGAGTTTTCTGAGGTAGTACTTTGGTTCCCAATTTAGAAAAAGAGACTCAGCAAAGTTAAGCAGTTTCTTTATACCATAATAGGGCCTGGCATTCTGATTGCGAGTATTGAAAATGCTTCTCATGTACAATTAATGTATGTTCATAAAACATTATATACAATGCAAAAGTAAAAGCAAAGGAATTTGCTTGCTTTTTTATTCTAGATCATACTTGATATTTAACAGGGTGATTTATGTGAAAAATAGATATGTAACTGGAGATCTTTTAACTAATTTATAAGTTCCATATAGTTTCCAACATGATACACAGTAATATTTAACTTCTGTCTTTACCTCCCGCTGTACTAGTTGCTAAACCAAACAACTACTTAGAGTCGTAAAATTTACTGTACATCTTTTGGTTCAGGACCCTTAGTTCTTAGCACAGAAGAACATTCTAAGAAATCATATAATATGTGAAGATAGTGAGAAAAAACCAGCCTGTATTTATTAATAAAGGTGAAATGAAGTGGCAGGTTTCTGTAAAATTGCTGTAGGAGTATTTCTGGAGATGTGGCTTAGGAGGCTGAGAACCAGGCAGGACATTGGTCAGTGTCAGGTAGGGACTTCTATGTCAGGAGCAAGAGAGACCACTATTCAGTACTCTGCAAAATTGGATAGAAATTGGCCAATGCCATGAACCAGGGCTTTTCCTAGGGAGCCAGCTAGTGAGCACTTACCAGTGACTTGCTGCTTTCTCAACCCCTTATCTTACCGTTTGCAAGCACACTCTCATGTCAAACCCTAGGAACAGTGTTTTGGATGGCCAAATGAGAACACCGAACATATTCCAGTGTCTTTGCTTTCAGAATGAGTCATTTGGGATGAAAATTCCTTGCCCCAATCTGAAGCAGAAAGTGGCCTTTAAAGATACTGGAATCCAAGTTGTTCTGTGTTAAAGGCCCTTGTTAAGGCCTTAGAAAAGTAAATTCTGTAGACCATGAGATACCTGACTGCCTGAGGACCTCTCTATGGAAAATATCTCTCAAAATTCTGTTAGTTTGTTTCTTCTGCTTTAGTTAAGTATTGGCATAAAAAAGATTAAAAGTTAGAAGTTACAGAGTTAAGTTGAAGGCAATGGTTCACAAACATAGAAGTATTCTTTCCTTTGGAAAGGGGATGCTTTTAGCTTTTATATACTTTAAACTTGAATCCATCAAAAGTTGACCCACTGTATTCAAATCACAGGTACTATACAATATACAATATGTCTGTGACAACTGGTTTTAATGCCATTTTGCCACAATCTAGAATCAGTGAGTCGGAAGCTATACCTGAAGAATTGTCTTGATCACTTTAATTGATGTAGGGAGCCCAGCCCACTATGGGCGTGCCATCCCTAGGCATGTGGGCCCTGACTATATAAGAAATCTAGTTGAGCAAGCTGAGGGAGCAAGCCAATTAACAGGCATTTCTGAGTACATTTCTTTTGTAACTGCAGCTCTGACCTCCCTCCGAGGGTTCTGCTTAGAGTTCCTGCGGTGGCATTCCTCAATGAGAGACATAAACTAAAGTCCAACAAACCTTTTCTTCCTTCGAGGTAGTTTTGGTCAGTGTTTTATCATAGCGACGGGAAACAAACTAGGGCAGCAGTCATTTTGGAATAGGTTGTATATAGCTTGTAACTTATTATAGAATGGATACCAGACACTATTTTGGATTCTTGTTTGGAGCTGCTATATACAATCATTTTAATAAGGACAGATAGCTGGTGGGGGGGGCAGTGGTAGCACATGTCTTTAATTCTGGCACTCAAGAGGCAGAGTCAGGCAGGTTTCTGTGAGTTCGTGGCCAACCTCGTTTACAAAGCTAGTTCCAGTATGGCCAAGAGTACACAAAGAAACTTTGTCTCAAAAAACCCAAACAACAAAAGCCTGCGTTAAAGGCTACCATGTGACTGATAAGGTGGTGTGGAAACAGTTCAAGCAAGGGGCTTGGGAGCAGCAGGCAGCCATGGGTGGTGATTTGCCCGTTTTGCTCTCAGGCAGGACTCTCCCTTCAGGCCAGAGAGCGCTGTGAATCAGGGTAGTACTGAGTAAGGTGGGTCTCAGGGGGTTCCCAAGGGAGTCATTATGTCTGGAGTGGAGGTGCAGTCTTCCATAAGTTCGCAGAAGATGTTGGTAGACCAGCCAGACTTTCAGCCCTGATTTGTTGCAGCATCGTGAGTTTTCCATAAGTTAAACGTGCATAGTAAAAAAGGTTGGGATGACAACACTGAAAACATATTAAAGCTTCATTTCTCACTCTGTGCTCAGATATCTGAGTGTGATCAACGCTGGCATTTCAGAACAGGACAGCCTGCTTCCACTATGGTGGGCATGCTTCTTTTCTTGGTAACAAATTAATATTACGGTAAAAACCGGGAGCCTTTCTGAGAACATTTTTCTTAACTGAGGCTCTGACCTTGTTGGGTTTCCCGCTGGCTCTGTGGAACTTCGTATGAAGTGCAGGTTACAGATGCATAGTTTAAATTCCCCGGACTGTTGTTATTTTTAAAATTCAGTGCGCACGGATGCCCTGGGGAGTGTCTCCAAGATGCCCAGAGCTGTGATTCACTAGGTCTGGGTAGGGCTCAAGGAGCTGTATTTTACGCAGCCATCTTAGGGTGTTTAGAAGCACATTCCAAGTCTCCTGGCAGCTTTGCCCAATCTCTCAGCGTTGTCATCTTTTCTTAGGTGTCTTTTTCTTTATCATTTAATAGGGTCATTTGGTTGGGATGTAACATATCATTCTTGTAAAAAATGTCTCCATGTTTGGCCCTGGAATCCACATGGCAATTTATGCCCATGCAGTTATGTGGCAGGCACTCATTCTGTACTCAACTGGGAACGTTTCTGCTCCCTGAACATACAGTTTAGGCCCCGGGACTCGGCCCAGCATTTCAAGACACTAAGGGTTTCATAGTCTATCAG